AAAGGAGTCCTGCGAAAGGATTGAAAACTTCCTGTCTCTTGGGAGCAATTGTCTCTTTGGATGCCACATACGGACTTCTGCAGCAAGCATTTGAGCAGAATTAGATCCCAAACTAGGTGAGGCCACCCACTGTCTGGTTCTGGCCTCCTTTCCCCATTTCTTTTGTTCATGGAAAAATGAGTAGGAAAAGAAGACGCAGTTCTTGCCAAAAGCCCAGTCTGAGGGCCTGCAGTAGTGCCACAGGTGAGTTGAGGCAAAGGGGGAAAGGAAACCGCCCCCAGATGGAAATAAATACCTTTTATGGCCATTTGCTTGCTAATTGTTGTCGCATAGAGCAAGCTGTGGGATCAGTTTGGAACTGAGAGTAATAGATTTCCCTTGGTTTATCCTTGTGCATCATTCTACTTGTTAACTCTGCCTCCATTTCCCTGCATCTTGATTTTGTGAGGTTTGGGGGGGGGGGAAAGGGCCTGCAAATTTCCCCTGCGCAGTGGCCCGCTCTCACCATCTTCTTTCCTACGCAGGATCGGATTCCTTGGTCTTGGCCTGATGGGCAGCGGCATTGTCTCCAATTTAATAAAAATGGGTCACACCGTCACGGTCTGGAATCGGACAGCTGAGAAGGTAAGTTCCATTTCTAGTAAGAAATAAAAGAGTCTTCTGTCAAGGGGGACGAAGCCACAGACCCAATCAAGGAATGCCTTTGGAATTGCTGAGGGGTCACCCAAGCCTGAGATAATGAGAAAACTTCTCCATTCACAAGATGTGAGAAATGTACAACGATATTCTCATCTCTTCTGTGACATTCTTTTCGTACTGAACGATGGACTATGGGCTTGGCTTTATCGGAGAAGTAAGAACGAAGAGAGCCAGTTTGGTGTCCTGGTTAAAGCATCAGGCTAGAATCTGGGGAGTTCGTCCCACCCCAGGCATAAAGCCAGCTGAGTGACCTTGAGCTAGTTTCCCCCCTCAGCCCAAGGAAAGGAGGACTTCTCAAAAACCTTGCCAAGGAAATTGCAGCGCCAGGAGTCAGCGCTGACTCAAAAGCACCCACTCACTAGAAAGAGAAAAGACAGCGAACTAAAATGGATGCCTTCTGGCCCACCACATTTGAAATGTTTTTAAGATGGGCTTCTGAACGTGGTAATTGGTTTGACAGCGCCAGCTTACGTTATCGCCAAGATCCTTGTAGCTATGGTAACATTTCCATTCCCTCCATTTCATGGCCCCACCCTCCACCCCCATTTTGTGCTATTTTCGTGGCTGAAAGCAGAAGCTCTGACTTAGGATAGCTCCAACAGCTATGCCCACATCGGTTTGGCGCCATATTCCCCCCACCCCACCCCAAAAAGAATTCTGTTAAGGGTTTTTGTGAGCCTAGGGGACAGGATGAGGCGGTTGGCATCTCTTAAGACCCTCATAATTAGGACATCATCTAAGGAAAAGCCTGCTGTGCCATCTAGAATGATAATGCCACAGCAACAGCTGCTTAAGGAAAGACCTGTGTCGTTTGGGATAGAGCGGCAATGTGGTGGGTCACCTTATTCACCCCTTTGGCATTACTCCAATCCAATAGGTGTCCAAGCCCCTGCTTGTCAATCCAAAGATTGATGGGTGGGATTGGACCCAGGGTCCAGTGCTTTAGTGTCAGAACTGAATCTCCGTGCCATTTCCAGTAGGTAACAGAAAGCTGCCTTCTTGGATCAGCCAGAGTCTGGAGCCCTTTCATAGTTGTTGTTACACAAAGTTAACCTAGCTGTTGCCGCAGCTAAGGACATAGACGTAGACTTCCTCGGCCCCGATAAGTTCTATGTGGCTTGCTCTATCCTTGCAAAACACCCAGTAAGCACATCTCCAAAGATACGGTATAACAACCTTTCTAGAAAGCAGAGAAGGGATTTCTTTGTTATCCTGGCAAGCTTCGCTAATTCTCTTCGCTTTGGTTCAGGTGAAGTTACCTGATCCAAGAAGATAGCTTTCTGTTGCCTGCTGGAAATGGCAGAACTTTCTTCCGACCCAGACCTAATTTCCCGGGGTTGAGTTGGGAGGTCTCCCAACTATATAGGCTTTCAGTTCTCAGCATTCACAGCCGTGGCTGCGGTGGTGGGTTTGGGGCCTGTCAGGGTTCCGAGGCTCATTTTAATTCTTACTTTTTGGGTCTGTGGCTTTTGCAGTGTGATTTGTTCATCCAGGAGGGGGCACGGTTGGGAAGGACCCCCGCTGAAGTAGTCTCGACCTGCGACATCACTTTTGCCTGCGTATCTGACCCAAAAGCAGCCAAGGATGTAAGGATTACCTCTTTTTACTTGCATGAGCCCCCCCTGCTCTGTCTCCCCCACCCCGCCGCCGCCGCCGTCCATCCTTTGCCACAGAGTGATCGTGTCTGCCTTGATAGGACCAGAAATTTCTCAGTTTACCCAGAAATACTACCATGACTGTGAATGACTCTTGAAGGCTTGGTTTACACTTCTCTTAATTTGTACGTAATGGCAGTGCAGAAAGCCTCTTTTGATTTTTAAGCAGAAGTCAAGAGTTTGAACTTCTTCACTGATTTCCTTGTGCGTGCGTGCACAGCCATTCTTTGCTTCTGCAGATAATTACTTCTCCTTTGAAACAACAAGCTTTTCTCCTGGGACAGCTATGAGAACACACGAAAGCATCCTAATTGTCCAAGAGGCCTTGATTCATTCAGCAAAGGAGAGAGAGGAGATGTGAAAGAGGCTTGAAAATTGAGCACTCTCACAGTTTTAACTTTTAACTTGTAAAAGGAGATACGCTCCTTATCCTGGGGAGGTTGAGAAAAAGGGCTTGCGTAGTGATGCCTGCTCTTTTGACTGAAGATGAGGCAGCGCATTGCACTGTTAAATATTTATGAAATACTCTTTTGATATTTAGGACAAGGTCACTAGTTTTTCAGTTGTGCGGTGGTCTCTTCTGCCTCACGTAATTGTGCCAAATATTTAATCACTGAAAAGCTTTACTGTCAAATGAGTGGATTAAGTCACCCGTGTGTGTTTGGTTTGGAGTATTTTCAAGTCTGTGGAATTACAGCTGTTGCTTGCTGCAGGCTTGGTTCACATTGCTGTTTCGTTTGGCTTTGCAGGATTATATTGTGTGTGTTTTTTTCTCTCTCACAGCAGTCCTATGTGAGCTTACTTATTCCTGGTTGACATTTGGGGCACCCAGGCTGGGACAATAAAGTTGCCTGAAACCATCAAAAATTGGAACTAAAACTGTACTATTGTAGGCCTCTTGAAGGATTTCAAACCATAAATGCCTTACTCTGTTTCATATTTTCTAAAAATATGATAAGTAAAGATAGCCACAGTTTCTCTGTTTGCTAAAAAAAATCTGAAATGGATATTATGATAACAGCATTATTGGCCAACTGCCAAGAAGGATGGAGGCTTTTGAATTCTCCCAGATTCTTCATTGGCATAAGCTTCATTAAGCATTATGACAATCTCTGGATTATCATGGGGTAGAAATACGGGAAACATATATAAACTAATAGATAGAGCACCCAGAGTCACCTTGAAGAGGAGATGGGCAGCATAAAAAATAAATGAAGAAATAAAATGTGAGCCCTGACATATTTCCTCTATTTAAATTCTGAAGTGTTTTTAATGACACCCTTAAGGGGAAATGCCAATAAAATCTGTTAAATGTTATGAGAACTATGCCATGCCAGGAACTCTGGGATCAAGTGACTGGCAAACACCAATCTGGCCAGTTTTGAACATTCCACTATTTGTTTATACTGGACTCATCTAATGCAGAATGTCTAGATCTAAAGCCTATCTTCTCAACCCTGATGACTTTTAAGATCCATGGACAGCAATTCCCAGAATTCCTCAGCCAAATACTGTTGAAGTCCACAGGTCTTAAGATCAGGTTTGTGAAACATTGAGCTAAAGGGTTTTTGGAGCTTGTGACGTTGTGAGAGCAGTCTGTGGCCTAGGGTTCAAAAGCTCCCCAGAGTATGACAGCAGCAGCGGGAAAAGGAGCCCTTGACACAACTGAATGTGACCCATTGTGTCAGTCAATGCAATTAGGCTTCATTGTGCTGAATTCCTTGCACACAACCAGCTCACGCAAAGGCTAGTGAATTGTGCAAGATAAATCCACCACAAAACCAGGTGAGTGGCCGATTCTATCTAACTCCACTGCAGCTGTGGGGTTAATTTGAATCACGTATCATAAAAGCTGGCCTGCTTATCTCCCTTTAGGACTTGCAGAAATACTTTTGTCTCACCAGATCAATCTGTGAGTCATAGCAAAACTCTGTAGAAGGCTGTCCCCTCCCGTGGACTGGTCTATTTTCATACTTCATTGAATTGGTCTGCTGGTGTAACTAGCGCCATTGCAATGTTGTAAATGAATTCTGTCCTTGTTCTTTCTATCTTTCTGTGTTGTTGCTCAGTCGCCAAGTCGTGTCTCTTCACTACCCCGTGGACCACAGCACGCCAGGTCCCCCCTGTCCTCCACTATCTCCCACAGTTTGGCCAATAATGCATGTTCATTGCATCGATGACACCATCTAGCCATCTCCTCCGCCGTTCCGTTCTTCTTTTCCCTTCAATCTTTTCCAGCACCAGGGTCTTTTCCAGTGACTCCTCTCTTCTCATTAGGTGGCCAGAGTATTTGAGCTTCATCCTCAGTCTGTCTTTCCTAAGAAAGTCTGGGTTAATTTCCTTCGCATGGGTGTATTTAAGACACATTTGCTCACAACCCAAAAAGGCAGTCTGAATGAATCAGTAGGGAAGTTCCACTTGGAGAAGTTTATTGCTGGGCTGCATAAAATCTAAGGTTCCTTCCAAACAGAATGGTTGAGAGGTTTTGAAAGCAATCTGGAAGTTCTTAGAAGTTCTTGATTGGGCCATATAGGACTGTGCAGCCCGGTGTTATCACTGTTTTGAAAACCACAGTGTCTTCTGGCCGAGTTTCCACCAATCTTATCCTAACTTTGAGGGTGCAGCATCATTTTAGCCGCCTGCTAACTTCAGGAGAAAGCCACTGTTACAGCAGATAGTTTTTGAAGCCTGGGAGAAACTCAGCCAATGATTATATGTGTAGTGCTTGGTAGAAGCCCCTTTGGTATTGGCTAGGTTCGGTTTACTTTGCAGACACCCTATTGCTTTACCCCTCTTCTCTTCCCCCAGCTGGTACTTGGTCCCAGCGGAGTGCTCCAGGGCATCCGTCCAGGGAAGTGCTACGTGGACATGTCAACTGTGGATGCAGACACTGTTACGGAATTGGCTCAGGTAACTGCTAGGTGTGACGGTATGTGAGAAGGACTTTGGGGGATGAGGGTAAGAGATGGCGAGCTAAGGAACAATCAGACATGAGGGATCCTTGATGTTCTCTGAGCTTGGCTGTTTCCTTGCAGACATTTCATTACCCAAACTAGGTAACTTCATCAGTGCTGGTCATCATCACTAGCACTGATGATGTTAGCTAGTTTGGGTAATGAAACGTCTGCAAGAAAATAGCCAAACTGAAAGAACACCAAGGACCTCTCATTTAAACCCTGAGCTACAAATATTATCCTTTATTGGTAGAAATTGGACAAGTAGGATAGGATTCTTTTAACAGAGAAAGATACTTGAGAAGGACCTGTCTATGGATCAGAAATTAAAAGCGGAGAGAGGAAGTTTGTTCCTTCAGGCTTTAAATATTCTGTTAACAGTAAAGGAGAATTAGCTCATCTAGTTGTGTTTCTGGGCTGTCTGGGAGACCTGACTGGATTTGCTTGAAGGGCTTTTGAAATTTTTAATGAGTCAACTTTGTGTACAAAATGCTACTGGTAATCTTCACCACAGAGAGACACACTATCCTTTTTATTTTAAATGATAAATGAAACTGGCTTAACCACCTTTCTCAGTTCTCCCAGGTTTTTTTTTTAATTTGATAGCCCCTTCCTTACAAACAAAATGTGTGCATGAAGACTTGTGTATATTATTGACTGATTTTCAACGCTCATAGTTTACCCCAATTGCAAAACATTCAATACAGATTGCAGCAATACACAAAATCAAAATGTATTATTGTAAAAATCAAAATGAAATGCAGAAAATAAACATCCTTACTCAGAATCGCGGGCGGGAAGAACAGTCTTGCCGAAAAAAATACAGCCTTGGTTTGTTTGCAGACTATTAAAAATATGTTGACTTTAATAAATTACTCCAGGGGATCAGAATACCATAGAGTGAAAGCTGCTTACAGAGAAGGCCTATGTGTCTACATAGATGCCTGCTGTATATCCCTTTACTGCTTTTAGAACTTGCGAAATTTTCCTTTCACGTCTAGTAATCTGTAATTTCCCTCAAGTAGCATTCAGCATACTTTTTTTTGCTGTTAAAGAGTTTAGGCTTCATATCACACAGAAGATTAATGTTTGGGTAATACAAGTAGTCCTCACTTAACAATGCTGATTTTTACCGGAAACTCTTGTTAGTTGATATTGACGATCTGTCTGATATTGGCAGTTCCCACACTCCCCGTTGCTGTCAGTAAGTGAGAACCATATGGGTTGTTAAGTGAGGACCTCATACAACCATGACTTCCCACCAGCTTCCTGATTGACTTTGCTTGTGGAACGTTGGCAGGGAAGGTTGCAATTTGTGCTCATGTGACTGTGGGACACCACAGTGTTGTACGTCTGAGGTCTACCACTGGCCTAGCACCATCGTAAGTTCGAACAGTCGCTCAATTAACCAAGGATTATCTGTAACTCTTACTGTATTGTCTGAGTTGGACGGGGAGATTAGCACGACCACCAGTGTCCTTGGCTGATGCAACTTATCTCCTCTGCTCAGAACGGTCCACCTTCTCTTGCTTCCAGGTGATTGTCTCCAGAGGCGGTCGCTTCCTGGAAGCCCCAGTCTCAGGGAACCAACAGCTATCCAACGATGGGATGCTGGTGATATTAGCGGCCGGAGACAGAGGCTTATACGAAGACTGCAGCAGCTGTTTCCAGGCAATGGGGAAGACTTCTTTCTTCCTAGGTAGTTTCACGAAGTGGTGGGGATGCCAGCACTTGTCTCTGGAAGGTCAAAGTGTGAAAAAAACATACAGTTAATAATTCATGGTTCCTTAATGAGTTTCTCCTACAGGATCTCTTTCTGCATTTCCCCCCCCCCTGTGTTAACTCTCATCTTAAGATTACTCTGAGGAACACTTCCAACATCTGTTTTAAAGCAACTTCTTAAGCTACTAACAAAAGTCTGCAAGATTATGATAACTTCACCCAACAGCCAAGTGGGTTGAAGTCATAAAGAGGGAGGAGGCACAACCATTATGTGAACGTCACCTGGAACTGTATTTAGAAATAATACGCTTTTCTCTTTTCCATAAAAATAAAATCCAGCTATTCTCAAACCTACTTATATTGTGGGGGCCAGTTGGTAGTATAGACCAGGCCTAATCCCCCCCCCCCCCCCCCCCGGTGCTATTCTTGACATTATGGACCAACATTTTTAATTGTTATGCACACATACACACACACACATGACATAGTATCCTTTAAAATGGTGTGTGGTTTATTGGGCACGTAGTATATTTTGATTTGTGGGGTCATTGATTATTTGTATATCCCAGTATTGGGGTTCTCTGTGGACATTGGTAAATGTTTGTTAGTATAAATACCTATTAACCCCAAATCTGTGGATCTCTACAGGAAAACTGCAACTCGTCTATAAAAAAGCAAATCTCATTTATACCAGCATCATTCAAGACTTTTGCTATCTGGTAGCATCCTTTTTTAATGTAGTGCATTAGCTAAGGGGCAACCAGTGTAAATAATTTAGAATGGGAGTATTTTGACTAGCCCTTAAGACCAGTAAATTACTATGAAGCTGAAGTCTGAAGAATGGTGAAGCTTACAGAGGTTTTTTGGGGGTGGGGGGTGGGGTGGGGTGGAATTCCTCTATTACCAGCAGAAATTTATTATTGGTCTATAAAAGTAGAAGAATGCATCAGGAGACAGATTGGCAAATGTTATCAAATGTCTTCACAAGGTCTAACATTGTTGAGCAGGTATGGTTTTTTTTAATCCCCATCTCCTTATAGAGAATCTCTCTCTCTCTCTCTCCCTCCCTCCCTCCCTCCCTCCCCCTCTTCCTCTCTCTGCTTCTCTCTCTGTCTCCCATAGGAGAAGTAGGCAATGCTGCCAAGATGATGCTGATCGTGAACATGGTCCAAGGGAGCTTCATGGCCACAATAGCAGAGGGACTGACTTTGGCTCAGGTCACCGGTCAGTCCCAACAGACCCTTCTGGACATCCTCAATCAGGGACAGCTGGCTAGCATCTTCCTGGATCAGAAGTGCCAAAGTAAAGTTCTCCATTCCCTCCCTCCCCTTGATGTAAAAAGGCTTGTTCCTCTCAATCGGGCGTAGGCAATCCAGAATCTTCCAGTTTTGTTCTGACCGGTTCCCATAGTCCTTTGATTTGGGTCATCTTGAGAGGGCCTGATTGGAGTTGAGGGCCTACAAATCAGTGTTTTTCAGTTTTGGCAGTGTGAAGAGGTGTGGACTTCGACTCTCAGAATTCCCATGCTGGCTGGGGAATTCTGGGAATTGAAGTCCACACCTCTTAAAGCTGCCAAAATTGAGAAACACGGATCTAGAGATCAGCAAATTGCCTGCTTCTACTTTTGAACTAGCTGTTTGTTGTATTGCAGGGGTGTAAAATTCAAGGCCTGCAGTCCGGATGCAGTCCATGGGGTGCTTAGATCTGGCCTGCAGGGCCGCCCTGGAAACAGTGAAAGACTGGCCCACAGTGCTCTGTGGGCCTCATGGGCTCTTATTTTCACTGGCAGGACTGCAGGAGGCTGTCGCAGCTGAAAACGGAGCCCAGAAGGGCCACATGCAGCCCTCTCAAGCTCCATTTTTGCTGGCAGTGTTAGCAAAACAAACTACTAGCAAAAGTGGCATTTCATCACACAAGTGACATTGAGCTGGCCACACCCCTCCCCTCTTCCTGCCCCCCTCCCCCGTCAAACACAACCCTGATCCGGCCCTCAATGAAATCGAGTTTTGACACCTCTGCTGTATTGAATAGCACTGTTTCCTACACCTCCCATAGCCATACTTGCTAGAGGTTTCCAAATAGTTCCTCCTGGCCAGACATGCTTTCTAACTGTGATAGCGAAGTAGTTAAAGTGGTGGACAGGCCCAGGGAGGCCCGAGCTCAAACCCCCCTGAGTTGCGAAGTTCACCCACTTTGAAGTTTGTGGTTGGGATATATTAAGGGAGATCTCTCTCTCCAGGGCCCTTGCCTTGAGTTCTCAAGGAAAGCAGTTTCTCTCCATGTCTATGTACGAACAATAAAAATGACTGGAATGAAGGGCAGTAGAAAGTAAACCTGTGCTTCTGTACCAAATTGCAATCTTGAAAGTGTGTAAAAGACTTTCAGGGCCAGCTTAGAAAATGTTATCTGTTAGCCTGGATAATTTGGGAAAGGATCAATCTGTGACCGGACAGGGTCTTGCATGTTTAAATAGGTGCGTTGGGAGTGGCGAAATCTGAAGGGACAAGAGACGAGGGTTGTCAGTAGGGAAAGTGGAATATGAAAACGTAGCTGGGCTTTTCCTTCTCTAGATATCCTGCAAGGAAACTTCAAACCCGATTTCTACCTGAAATACATCCAGAAGGATCTCAGATTAGCCATTGCACTAGGCGATTCTGTTAATCATCCAACTCCCATGGCAGCTGCAGCCAATGAGGTAGGTTTTTTTCCCCCAACCCTATTTCTGTTCAGTCCTGTCTTAAAGGCCGCTTGTTTTGGGATTGTTGGTTGTTGTTGTTTTTGCAAACCTTTAGAAAAGTATCTAAAGACTGGATTGAGATAGTTGTTTTTCAGTCCAGATATTTGACCTTAGCCGCCTCCTTAATTAATTTTAATTTGCTTCCTCCTGGGATATAATTATATGTTTTCTGCATTTTAATTCTATACCAACCAGACTTGCTCTTTGAGGGGGAACGAGGAGTCTCCAAATTTGTTATGTAAAGTTCGGAAGGATCACAAAATAAAGGATTTTATTAAACAGCCACCTGGGATGCCCTCTGGCATAAAATGACAGAATTCACAGATTATCCTTTAGACATTACAGGTAGCCCTCGACTTATGACTACAATTGAGAGCCCGAACTTTCGGCTGGCTAAGTGGGAGGACAGTTAAGTGTATTTTGCCCCATTTTACGACTTTGCTTGCCACAGTGGTTAAGTGAATCGCTGCATTTGTTAAGTTAGTAACCCAGTTGTTAAGTGAATCTGTCTTCCCCATGGGCTTTGCTTGTCAGAAAATCACAAAAGAGGGTCATGTGACCTCAGTAGATACCCGCTGTCATATTTATGACAGTTGCACGTCCTGGCATCACGTGATTAGCCATTGTCAAAATTTTGATCATGTGACTATGGAGATGCTATAAGGGTTGTAGCTGCGGAAAAAACGGTCCTAAGTCATTTCCCCCAGTGCTTTGGTGCTTATGGTCACTAAATGAATGATTGTTAAGTCAAGGACTACCTGTATCTCCTTGCCAAACTGAGTCCCTTAAGAGCAGATTCTGGATCCCCTTTAATTTGTTTGGGCACTTTTGCTGGAAGGAAAGTAAGTGCAGCCGGGGGTGTTTTAAGAGGCTCGTAGGAAGCCACTGATCCTCCTTGGTGACTCGTCTCTTCTCCTCTATTCTCTCCCTCAGGTCTACAAACGGGCAAAAGCGTTGGACCAGTCTGACAATGACATGTCTGCTGTGTACAGGGCCTACATCCACTAGGCTACCTTCTTCTAATTGTTAATACTATGATTAATTATAATGATGAATACTGGGTTTTAACTCTGGACCAGTCCATCTTTCTTTCTCTCTCTCTCTCCTCTCCCCATATTCCCACCACCCATTTTCTTTCTTTCTCTTGTTTTCCTTTTTAATACAAAAAAAAAAAAAAAACAACTTTTTGAGATCTGCCACAAGGACAGTTGCTACAGTACGCCTTCCTGTGCCAGCTAGCTGCAGCAGCAGTAGAAGAGATTGGACCACAGATCTCTTAACCACCCTTTGAGAGTCATAGAATGGAATACCCCCCCCCCCTGCTTGGCTTTAATCCCGGTTCTCATTGTATATGCGTCCCTGGGCATTTTAGGTTCTTTCCAGCTGCTATATATATATATATATATAGGGTTCTCTTGAGCAGTCAGGACAGTTGTCCCTTTACCTGGGTGGTTTTGACAATTGGGGTGGGATTCTGGCACACCTGTGTTCTTTTTCCTTGGAGAAAAAGATTAGAACAAATGGTGTGTTTGTGCATGTGGGGGTAAATTAATGTAGTTCCCTAACAGAAGAAGAGGTGTTTGCATCCAAGCCTTCTCCATGGAAACAGCTTTTGTAAATGAGAGAACCTGTCTTTTACTTAATTCCAGTTCAAAATGAGCCTCTGACATGCAGGGTGTCTCTACAGGCTCTTAATTGCTAAATGGTTTATCCATTCTTGAATGTATCTGTAAAAAGATTGGACCAGCCTGCGATTCACAGAATGGGCATTTACAAAAAAAAAAGAAGGTGGAACTTTAGAGTCTTCCTTCAGGTTCATCTTGGAGAATTGGCACCCTGAATGTTTGCATCTTTGCTCCTCTAATATTCGCAAGGATGATTTGGGTCTTGAGTGTTGCCCGATAATCAGAAAAACAAATAATTCGATGCAAAAATTGATTTCCATGTTTTTCTTTCTGAAAAGCTAAAGATACTCAATAACGTGAAGTAGAAATCCTGCTTGCAAGTAATGTAATGAAAGACTCAGCAAGCTATGGACTGATAACAGCTTAATTCTTTACTGAAATGACAAAGTAGTCTTAAAATCCAGGAATGTACCAGCATATTCTAACAAAATTGTGACTTTTTTTTCAGTCTCAAAACTCAGTATTAATCTTGAGAGAAAGCCCCTTGGCTCAAAGCTTGGAATGCATACATCAGAAAGGGTTGGAAACAATTCTGGGTTCATGCAGAGACTTTCACACTTGTAGAAACAGAGCTCAAAAACTCAGCACTCAGATACCTAGTCTGCTTAATTGTGCATTTTAGATTGATGAACTTCTCTTGCCAGTATTTAAACTTCCAAAATGCAAATGTGACATCCATCTCTTTGAACCTTGGGTTGATCTCCAAGCTATGTGGATATGCTGGCTCATTCTGAGTGAAGGTGCAGAAGACTCAGAGTTTTAGGTGATATATTAAAATTTTAATTGATATATTAAAAGAGTAGACTTGATCCTAGTCTGCTCTTGCTACAGCACATATTTCTTATGTAGTTTTTTTCCTTCTGTGGTACAGACAATCCACCGTTTAAAAAAGACATTGGTTTTTGTCCCTGTCCAGGGGTTTTTTCATAGGTCCCAAGAGCTACCTGCTTGTTTTTTCCCCACAGTGAAGTGTATCCTGTTACTGGAAATGGAACTCCTTATGAGTAAGTGAAGCTTTTAAGGACAACTAGTACTTGTTAGGAAGAGCAGATGGGTCTGGGGGAAGATGATCTCATTCAAGATGGTTGTTCTTAATGCAGTAAATTACACCAGGAAGCCACTGTTCCAAAGACCTTCTAAAGCAGAGATTCCAGCCTTGGCTACTTTAAGACCAATGGACTTCAGCTACCAGAATTCCCCAGCCAGCATTGTTAGGGAACTGAATTCTCGGAGTTGAGGTCCATCGGTCTTAAAAGTTGGACACCTGTTCTAAAGATTGTCAGGAAGAGGACAGGGAGATCCTTCTGATATTTTGTGAGAACCTTGCAGAACTTGAACAGAAATAGTTCCCAGAATATTTTGTTTTGCCTCCCTAGCAAAAATTTAAAAATCCAAATGGAACTAGGAGTGTGCAACTACAGCGTAAGAGAACTGCAGCGTCTTCCATTCAATCTCTCTCTCTCTCTTGTGGTTTCTCTGTCAGGGAGAGGAAATATCTACTGAAGGGGTGTGGTCCTTTCTACAGTACTGCAGAGTTAGTGATGGGGGGGGGGGGGGGGACAACAGCTCAAAACGCTAACAAGAGCTTGTAACTGCTGGCTCATCTCATGCCTTTTGAGAAGCACACCCTTGGTTTTTGTTTTTTTTTTGTTTTTTTTTGTTTGCAGCCAAACAGTAGTTTATGTAAACTGGGTTTTGTGGCATCCAATTTTATGGGTTAAAGCATCCATTAGTCTACCAGTTTTATATTTGCAATATATTTGCTGGTTTTAAGGTGCCATGGGACTCCTTTCCTACTCAGCCTTTCTGTTCTAAGAGCCAGCTTTGATCAATTCTCAGTTGGGGTGTCCTTAAAGTCGAACTGGCACAGTGGCGCAGGAGGGGAAGCGTTTGTTACAAGAGAATACGATGGAACTGGCTTAGTCATTGTTGTCTTAATATTGTTGACAATACTGTAAAGTTTCTTTTTTTTAAAAAAAAATGGGATTTCTGTTTTAGCAGTTGCTTTTTTGTTGTTGTTCCCTCCTTTTTCAAGATAAAAAGATATTTACACTTGTGGAGAGCTTGTAAGAAAAAAGCTGTTTCTTTTGATTCCTTCTCCTTTGATGAATGATCTATAGGTAATTAAGGTTGTGAATTTTTTATTTTTATTTTTGCCTTGTTTTTAATTAATGTTTTGTCATTCAGATAGGATGTGTGGTGATGATTAAATGGCAAACACAGACAAAATGATTTTTTTCTTGTGCAATTAACAAAGCTACTGGCAAAAGAAAATAAAATTTTTCTTGGTAACACAATGCTATTTGTTGCTCTAAAGTATTCTTCTTTCCTAACTGCAAGAATTAGAATATGAATCTCCCACTCCCAAAACACAAAAATGGTAATAGGTGCATTAGGCAAGAGTATAAATTTAAATTGTTGGGACTATCATTTGTGTATAACTTCAAGGGTAAGGGAATGGAGAAAGTTTAGAAAGGATGAATGCCATTAATAAAAGTTGAAAATATACTGCAAAATTTAAAATTTGATGGTGAGACTGGAGGGTGTACAGAGATTTGTAAAACCAACTCCTGTTTAATCATCAGCGTTTACAACATACAGTTTCCTTTGCAATGACAACAATGTAGTTTATTTCAGCAGTATTGTTTGAAATATTAGGAAAAAACAGGGCTAAACTCTTTAACATTTGAAATGAGTTGGGAAGAATTGAACTGTTTGTTTATTTTGCAGGGTGGATAGGAAGAGTTACAGAATTGACCTGTTGACCTTGTTCTTTGTTCAAGTGGTTATATTAGAACAAAAATGAGAAAAAATATATCCAGTATTTATGTATTTATTTATAAACATTAGAAAATAAAATCATTTGCTTATTAAATAATTAGCTATGTTGAATAATAGTGCTTTTCTCTATTTTGTCATTTTGTTCTTGAGCCAACACACGAATTAAAAGTGGAGTTAATTGGCTTACGATTGGTTCATGATTATTCAGACTTTGCTTTGCAAATGCGTATGCTTTTAAACGAAGTGACGTTTGAAACAACTTTGAAGGAAAATACTGTCTTCATAATACAAAAGATACTAAGAGGATGGAAGGTAAAAATAGTTGTAGGTGGGTTTTTTCTGTTCACAAATCTCATTTAGAAGATAAAATATTGACTAACCTTATTAAAATAGGGCCCAAAAGATAATCCTGTGTATATATAAAGGTGCTAATATAAAATAAAAATAAGGAAGCTTGACATTGCAGACATAGTTCTTTAAAGAATAACAACTTATAAAGAAGGAAAAGCAAAACACTATTTTGCTCCAAAAAACTTACATCAAAGATTTGCTTATTATTTGTTGTTACCGTGCTATGCTTCAAGGATCCTAAGCGAAATTAACATCGGAACAATACAGGTAGTCCTCAATTTACGACCCAAAATTGAGCCCAAAATTTTTATTGCTAAGTGAGAAATTTTTGCCCCATTTTATGACTTCTTGCCACGGTTGTTAAATGAATAGCTGCAGTTGTTAAGTTAGTAACACGGTTAAGTGAATCTGGCTTCCCCATGGACTTTTGTCAGAAGGTCACAAAAGGGGATCATGTGACCGTGGGAGACTACAACCGTCATAAATATGAACCTGTTGCCAAGCATCCGAATTTTGATCATGTGATTATGGGGATGCTGCAAACGATCATAAGGGAGAAAGATGCTCACAAGCCCCTTTTTTTTTCAGTGCCCTTATATCTTCAAATGGTCACTAAGTGAACTGTGAATAGGTTGAATACACCTATATTTGCATACCATGCCAGTAAAACGGAAGTGGATGCAAGAAATTGACATCCCTATGTTAACTGGGCCAGCCGGTTCCCCAATGTTGCACACACACCCTAGTCTAGCGAAGAGAAGGACATGGGGAGATAGGATAACAAGTCTTCCAATATTTGAGGGGCTGCCATAGAGAGAAAGGGATCAAGCTACTTTCCAAGGCACCCGAAGGCCAGACAAGGAATAATGAGATACTCAACCTGGAAATAAGGAGAAACTTTCTGTCCGTGAGAACCATCAACCCATGGAATAGAAGTTGCCTTTGGAACTTCATCACTGGAGGCTTTCAAGAAGAGACTGGATTGCCATCAGTTGGAAATGGTGTAGGGTAACAGATTGACAAGAGTTAGAAGGGACCTTAGAGGTCATCTATACCCCCCCCCCCCCCCCCCCCAAGCAGGAGACCCTATACCAGGGCTTTTCAAACTTGACAGCTTTAAGACTTAGACTTCAACTTCATGACTCCTCCAGTCATGTTAGCTCAGGAATTATGGGAATTGAAGTCCACAAGTCTTAAACTTGCCAAGTTTGAAGACCCTTGCCCTACACCATTCTGCTTGGGGGGGGGGGGTGTTGGACTAGATGACCTCCAAGGCCCCTTCCAGTTCTGTTAATCTGTTAACATCCCCCCTCCAGCCATTGCGGCGGATGCAATTTGGGAGAAAGGCGGCCAGGACTAATTGATGTTTGCCAGCAACCTCTTCTTTTCCCCGGCTGCCGCAGAGCATCTACAGTTGGGGAGGTTGGTGGTGGGGGAGGCATAGGACATTCCTCCCCCCCCCCCCCCCCCCAACAACGGGGGCCCGGGGGGTTTCCCACCCCCCCCGGGGGGGGGGGCCCCCCCCGCCGCCTGGAAAAACCCCGGCGCCCCATTGCATTCGGGGGTGATGCTGGTCCTCAAACCGCCCCCCCCTCCGCTCCGCAGCCTTGGCCAGCGCTGAAAAGCTTGAGCGGCCAGGCGAGAGGGGGGGAGGAGCCTCAGAGGTATCTGGGCGGGCCCAGGGAGCGACGCGCGTCCAATGAGAGCGCCCGCGTCGGCGGCGCTCGCCCAATGAGGAGCGCGAAGGGGCGGGAAGCCAGCCAACGCCTCGGCGCTGTGGAATCCGTGGTGTTTCTCTCGCTGGCCCGGCGGCGGCGACGGGGATGAGGATGGCTGCCCTGGCGAGCCCGGCCGAGCGGGCAGTCTTGGTAAGCTTCCGAATCCAATGGCGGAGATGTCCGTGTGTTTGTGGGGGGGGGGGGGTGGGGGGCGGGGAAAGGAGCGAATTGAGAGAGCGCGTGACGTCATTGAAAGAGTGGGGGCGGCCGACGTCACTGCCCTTCGCGTGACGTCACCGGGCGACGTCGCTGCCCTTCGCGTGACGTCACCGGGCGAGGTTCTTGGCGCTTGTTTCTTTCGCACTTTGGGGGTGGGGGAGGAGGGGACAGGAGGGGCGTCGTCGCTTGCAGGAATGGCCCTTTGAGGTCTCCCTGACAACCCTGCGAGGTAGGCCAAAGGTGGAAGCCGGGTTGGCTCGGATCTGGGTTGGTTGCACGAGCCAGGGTTGCTTTGGTGTGTGTGTGGGGTGGGGGTTGCTTTGCAACCGGGGAGGGGGTTACAATTCAGCCCTGGTTTTGGGTCCAAAGCACCAACCCTATTTTAAAGCAATGGGGTGGGAATCTGGGCTGCTGAAATCCGGACCACCACCAGGGGGCAGCAGAGCTCTCCCCCCCCTCCTTTGGGTGACCCTGGGCTGCCTCCTCTGCAGCTTTGCAGCCCCAAACCCAGAGCTGTCCCAATGCAATACCAGGCGTAGTCGTATTGTGAGTCGCAGTCCTCGACTTACGGCCACAATCGAGCCCGGCGTTTCTTTTGCTAAGTGAAACAGTTAAGTGAGTTTTGCCCCCATTTGACGACCTTCCTTGCCACAGTTAAGTGAATCACCGCAGTTGCTAAGTGTGTCACGCGGTCGCTAAGTGAATCTGGCTTCCCCGTTGACTTTTGCTCATCAGAAAGTCGCAAAAGAGGATCATGTGACCTCGGGGACACTGCAACCGTCATACTGACCGTTCAAAGCACTGAAAAAAAGTGACTATTTATGACCATTTTCCACATTTATGACCATTGAGGTCATGTGATCAAAATTTAGGTGCTTGGCCATGACTCATATTTATGAAGGTTGCAGTGCCTTGGGGGGGTGGGTGTCATGTGATCAGCTTCCAAAACCACCTGACAAGCAACGGGGAAGCCAGATTCATTTCACAACCATGTTACTAACTTGAACAACTTCAGTGATTTCACTTAATGTGGCGAATAAGGTTGTAAAACGGGACCAAACTCACTTAAACCAACATTTCACTATGCAACAGAAATGCTGGGCTCAACTGTGGTCGTAAGTCGAGGAATACCTGTAGTTCAATATACACAAGTATATGCGCCTGGTATGCCTGAATACAGAGGCTCTAAATTATAGACCCATTTATTTGGTATATGCGTTGCATTTTTATTTGAGTTTCCCTTATGCCAGGTGTCAGCAACCCATGGCTCTGGAGCCACATGCGGCTCTTTGGGCCCTCTGCTGTGGCTTCCTGTTGGGTGATCCCACCACTGGCTGGCCCCACCCCTTGCCTTCCCCTCCCAGTCCTTCCCTGGCCTGAGAAGGTAAAACACAAAAAACAGAAATGAGAGGGAGGGGGAGAGAGAGAGAAAGAGAGATCCATTTTCCACAGGAAACACCAGGAGCCACAAAACCTGGGTAGGCGTGGTGGTGGTGGGTCATGTGACTGGGTAGGAGTGATGTTGAGTTGGCCACGCCCACCCAGGTTTTGTGGCTCCCGGTGTTTTCTGTGGGAATCAGGTCCAAATGGTTCTGGCACAAAAATAACAAAGTCCCAAAAGTAGATAAATTCCCTTTAATATCTCCAACTTGGCCCCCAATGTCCAGTTATCCTCGGCTGGAGATCAAACTCTTCCAGAAACAATCTACAAAGGGAAGAAATGCAGTCCGAACCCAAAGTACAGATAAATTAGAAATAAAAAAACCAACACAAACGACGCTGAAGTAATTAACACGACTTCCAAAAGATAATGAAGCGCACACAGTTGGGAGGACTCCAGAACCCAGATAAGACTTGACAAACAAAGACAATTCATGCTTTGCTTCCAGCAAGGTGCTGTGCGCAAACGCCCTTTTTAAATCCTGTTTTCCCAACTGCAGCTAATGAAGGGGATCAGGGCCCTTTCCTCCCCCGTAAACCGTGCAACTCACGTTGCTCCCTTCTCCGTTCCTCCCTGCGTGCCTTAGGATGAAGAGGGGATGGCCTTGGGTCTTCCTCTGAATGCCCAGCCGGACTGTGCCCTTCCCCCCGTTTCTTTCACAGCCACCAGAGCCACACTCCCACTCCCTGTCAGCTGCTCAATCTCCCCCTCAGAATCAGACTCCAACAAGGGCACGATAGGCTCTTTGAGTGTTTAAGGTTGCAGACCCCTGCCTTATGCCTACAC